GATACATGAAGTTGAGAAAGTTACAATGTTATTTATATATGTTAAAGGTTCTATCATCTAGTTCTCCAATTTCTTTGTAATCCTAATTTATCCTAACTAAATGTATTACTTGAACCTTCTATTATTTTCAAGTTATTTCTAAAGTGATTCAATCATTTAAATTCCTTGTTTAAGTTTTAACCTGAGAATTAAAGGTCTGTTATATACATGTTGTCAAATTAATTTGGCTTTGACTCAATTGCATCTGACTCAATTATTTATATGTTTTTCATACAACTCAATTAATTGCATCAAAAAGTCACCTGATTGAGTAAAGTGAGCTACCATATGTTACATTTTAGAATGCTATAATATTTACTTCTCTATTGTTTGAGATATTTTTCATGAGCTAATTATTTTATTAGTAATATGTTTTCCATAAACCCATGCATATTATTATTATCATGTAATTATGTATTCTATATCAGTAACATGTCACATGATTAGTATGCATTCCCATACAAAAATGCACTTTTTCACTGGAAGTATTAGTATGTTTCCAAATGGTTTCTGATAAATTTTCTGTCAATAATTTTCTGTAGGGATGGGTAAATAAATACATTAAACAGGGAAGAGAAATTCCAAAGGGACATTTATGTTTCAAATTGGTTTTGTGATATCAGATTCAGATAGTAATAGGTACAAAAACCCATATATTGTGATTAAGTTTTTCCCAAAACATTAGTTATTTCATTAGCTCATGTCTCCTAATTAATATTGAATGTAACTTATACACGCAGCCCAAAGTATTTTGACACTGTCATAAAGGGGGTTGCACATGTAGTAAAGGGGTGTTATATACACTTATGTTTTTAATAGTGAATGCCGTAATTAATTTCTACTTTCTACCATCAAAATCACCAAACCAATTTGGGCTGCATGTATAGACCAGATCTCATTAAATACTAGTGCCGTAATCCAAAAAAGGAAAAAGTATGGTTGCAAAAGTGGTCGTAAAGGTAATTGCAACCACTTTTTATATGCCATAAATACAATTACTACCATCATCATAATTTACGGCACTAGTCTTTAGATCTCATAGGGATAAATCTCAAAATATTTAGCCTGGAGATGTTTCCATGTCTTGATATTTTCAAATGAAGGAATGTCACTTGGCATGTCTGTAAAGAAAAGGACTGAATAAGCTATTTAATACAGATACAGACTCTGTCTTAGATTTTATAATACAGTCCCCGGTGAAAGTAATGGCGGTATAATGAAACATTATTTTTGCTAAGTTTTTATTAAGTAAATCGATCTTTTTATATTAAATAAAGTTGTTCACAA